TTTAATACATTTTAACTAAAAATGGAAAAAAGATTAGTTTATTTTAAAATAAAAAAATATTATAGTTTTTTAAATTTTCTGGTCAAATTCTGGCCAAAAAGATTTGATTGAACGATATATTTATTTTAGAATATTTTCATACCAGAGTTAAACTAAAAAGGCATACAACTTTAATTATCAATGAAGAAATTTGCTATAATGGTAGATCTTATGAAAAGAGAGAGGGATGTGTTATATTAATACGAAATAATTATATTTATTGCTTTTGAAGGCAGTAAATAAATGAATTGATATGCAAGATTTGTATGTATAGTTATGATATGATTGGAGTTTATTGTGAGAGCATCCTAAATAAAGCAAACGATAGCTTTTCCCCTTGCTTTATTACAAAGAAATCATTCAACCCACTATACTATAAATAATAATTGTCATATATTTATCTTGTTACATTTTTACGTTCAATTTTTTATTTTACAAGAAATAAAGAAAAGATACTTTAATAATTAAATCGAACCGCAATTTGGATCAAATCGATATTTGATTTTGTTTAGTTTTAAATTTTTAAAATCGATATTATTTGGTTTGATTTTGATTTTATATAAGAAAAAAACAACAACAAAAATAACCAAATCAAACCAAGAAATTATATATATAAATTAATAATTATTTATTTATTATTCATAACTAAAACATAAATATTTTATTAAATTTTATGGGAAAAGGGTAAAAAATGCCCTTAAACTATGTGAAAAGAACAAAAATGTCATTTATAGTTTGCTCAAAAATGCTCTTGCCTTCAATAATTTGGTTCAAAATGCCCTTGCAGTCAATACTTTTGTCCAGAAATGCCCCTATAGTTACAAAATGGGTCAAAAATGCCCTTTTCCGAAAAAATATATTATTTTTTTCTTTTTAAACACATCTTCCTCCTAATTAAAATATTATTAAAGAACACTATTCTTGTTACTTTTTCTTCTAAAATAACTTTAACCAATAAAAATGTAGGAAATATATTTTTTCTTCTTAATCTCATTTTATCAATTAAAATAGAGTAACTTCATGTACCTTTGCGACATATAATATATGTGATATATATAAGATCATAGTATATCCATCATTAATTTATAATTTTATAACGATAAAAATAATTATAATAAAATAAGAAATATCTTAATTTTTAATTTTTTTTCTGAATTGAAGTAAGATAAACATTTGCTAATTTTAAAAAGTACTATTAGAAAAAGAAATAAAGAATACTATATTTATTTGGAAAATGAGCATTTTTGACACATTAAATAACAATAAGGGCATTTTCAGACCAAAATATTGACAGTAAAGGCATTTTTGGACCAACTACAAACGAATGACATTTTTGTTCCTTCCTCATAGTTTAAGGGCATTTTGACCCCTTTCCCAATTTTAATAAACTTCAAAAGCTTTTAACTTTACCATTTTTCAAGTCCAACACTTAAATTTTAAAATTACTGTTACAATCCTAAGTACAAGTCAATCGAGATACATTCCTTTAGTCTTTACCGGATGAGGCTCCACTCCATTACTCAGCATCTCCATATCCCCAAATACCTACTTAAATAGTAGCCACATGTCATAATTAAGAATCAAAGGTTGAAATTTAATTACCTAAATTAAAGTCTAACCGAATAACAAATAATTTCTTTATTTATATTTAATTTTTTTTATCAAACCCACTATTCTATTACTTATAGTTTTTAGCACGAATGAGGAGTGAAATGGCCCAAAGGGAGCATGTGGGGGTGCTTATTTTGTTGTAGATATACGTATACAAAATTAAATTCAAGTATGTTAGTGATAGAAAATATTTTGGATTTCGTGATCGCGAAGTTCCAACTGTAAATGATCAAAATCTAAAAGAAAAAAATAATGATATTTGAAGTGTTGATTACTCTTAGAGCCCGTTTATATTGACTTAAAAAAAAAGTAGTTTTTAAGTTAAAAATAAAAAGTCAAACTGAAATGACTTTTAAGCCAAAAAATAAAAAGTAGGGAGAGACCTACTTTTGGTTTTTGACTTATTTTAAGTCATTTTTTTACCTTGCCAATCACTCTCCGATTTATTTTAAGTCATTTTTGACTTATTTTAAATTATTTTTTATATTTGCTAAACACTTTTATAAGTCAAAAAACTAACTTAGGTTTGACCAACTTTTAAGGCAATTCAAACACCTTTTATACTTTTTAAAATAACTTTGCAAATACTGACTGTATTTAGGGGTATGGCTTATGTGATTGCTGGGCCTAGTAAACCCAATCAAAATGGGCTTATATTCTTTTTTGGGTTTGTTCTTATTTTCAAGAACGGGCCGTACAGGAATGTTGGGCCTTAAAGCTCTACTTTATTATTGGATATTTGAAGTGTGATTTTAAATTTATTTATAGTTATAATCAATTTTGAATATTCACAATAAGCGTCGCTTTGGCCGAGTGGTTAAGGCGTGTGCCTGCTAAGTACATGGGGTTTCCCCGCGAGAGTTCGAATCTCTCAGGCGACGTTTTTAATCATTTTTCCCATATAAATTTAAGTATCTACTTATACAAATCCAAAATTATAGGCAATAGTTAAAGTCTTAAAAGACACATTTATGTGTAATACCTTGTTTTACTCTGTTTTTTTTTCCCATCAATCTCTTTTTCTGTTACCATGAGAACATGCCAAAAGGGGATAGAACATGGAAACCTAGTTTTAATAAATGAAGCTAATTTATTCATCATCCAAAATATGGAATTAGTTAACATTTCTCTAGTGCCTTTACGCTATATTAAAATGATTTTTAGCGCGGTAATTACAGAGTGATAAATATATTTTTAGCTGCAATTAGTACTCTTTGTAAATGTCTCTAAAACCATTAGATATATTAGATCTAATGACAATTAACTAATGTCAATAAAGACTTTAGCCCTCTTTGTTATTGTATATATTTATTGCCGCTAAAAAGTGTTTTTGTTGTAGTGTTAGTGATACAGTTACCGTCCTGATGTTTAATACAAACACTGAGGTTTGACTAAATTTGAATTTGCATCTGGAAGTCCTATATTGGGAGGGAGAGGTAAAGTACTCCTTAAAGAAAGTAACTCCATATCTAAAGGGACTCAAGCCAAAAACTCTGATTAAGAATGAAGAAATACTTTATATTATTAGTCTATCCGTCCAAAGTAAATGTACTTCAAAGTCAAATAACAATGATTTCATAAGACATACTTATAGTTTCTAGACTTATAGCTTTTCGTAGATAGATAGATATAAATAGTACAAGTTCTAGACTTCTAGTAGACAAACTTGCACGAAGAAACCGTGATTTAACTATTCCCTCCATTTTGATTTAACTTTTTATTTGATTTTGACTTTATGCGAAATTTAAGAAGAAGAAGAAGAAAAAATTGGATCTTATGGTCTTAGACAAAAACAATATAGAATGGATAACAATATTACTTGGTCTTGTAATCTTAAGCATGTCATATGAAAAGTTCAAATTATAGATTTTCTAAAACAAGAAAAAGTCTTTTTTTTATTTTTTAAAACGACTAAAAAGAAAAGAAAGAGATTCAAGTTGAAACAAAGAAGTATTATTAATTGACTTAGGTCACCCACTACTAGGAATAAAGTTCTTTCTACGCGAATCAGTGAGAATTTTATGATGTAGAACATGATTTTTCCACTCATTTTCTTTTGAACCAACTTACTGAAAAATTACGAAGATTGGTGGGAAACAAATTCTCACTGAAATAGTAGAAAACATGCATCCTATTTTTCCTATGAAAACATTAATATATATTTTCTTTTTCTGCCGATTCAATAAAAATATTTGTAGAAATAACCATTAAACATTTTTCAACGAATATAATGATTTATTTGGTAGTGACCTAATTACCTCATGCATATATTCACACCTAATGATACTATCATAATGCAAGTCAGTGTAGAAGAAGTGCCATGAAAATAACTCAGGTTTAGTAGTTTGAATCAGATGAAAGTTTAAGCAACTATGAGGTAAGTTCCCAAACACTATATTTTTATATTAAGATCAAAATTACAAAAAGGTTAAAACTAATTTATGATCTCTAGCAGTTTTTAGGTTCTTTACACAATTCCAACTATATGAATTCATTTAATGCAATATCAAATTTCAGTATATATATCACCTATAGTCCTAAAATATACTGAAATCGCAAGTTCTTTATTTTTCTAATTTCTAGACAAGATGCGATCACCTAGCATAAGAATAAGATACGACAAAACCATTTTTTGGTTAGTATATGCGGAAATATTAAGCAGTGACATACTTAAACATTCCCTTTTTTCGAGGATTACTCGGCAATCTCGCTCTGATGTATATATACTTTTGGGGTAAGGCGGAAGTCCCACCTTTTATTGTGCTTCTACATGATTTATATATACATCGTTATGATCGCAATCTTGGGAATTTATATATATAAAAAAGATTTCATAGGCAGCTCGTTCAGTTTGGGAGGCAATTTTGTTGCAACTTTTATTAGTAGTAATGGTCAAGATTAAGTGACGAACAAAATGTTTAATGAACTTTGTTAAAGAAAATAAAATCGTTCCACATACAAATTGATCCAACTTAATTTAATTTCCCATCATCAAATTCAGTGTCGAAAAAGTTAAATCATACATAATGATAGCGTAAAAAAAACTATACACAATTATTATGATTTAGTCCATAATAATAGTAGCTTATTAATTTATTATTTATTTTATCATATCTAGGTTTGATATGTTGTTGAATGTCAATTTTAACCGGATATATAATAAAAAAAATATTTATTCTATCAGTGCACATAACATGAATTCAAAATTAAATATTGCATATATGACTATATGAGTTTAATTTCTACGCATAAAACATAAAACCATATTATATAAGCAATTTTGAGAGAGGAGGGTATATAGGGGGATTAAAAGTATTGAAATATTGATCATATGAAAAAACTAACAATGCTTCTTATTCCTTTGTAAATACAAAGTACGTACAACAATTTTCTCTATCTATATTTCTGAGAAACATGTAACTGACTAAAATTCAAAAGATTATTGATTGATTAAATTGATCCACATCTGTACACAAATACTGCTTACAAATCAACAATTTTGACCTTTTTATTTACTTTCTCTTCATAATCTTCTATATGATCGATCTGTACTTTGCTCATTTTTCTATTCACACTTTGCTCAATTCTTGATGAGAAAGATTGTTATTTCTCCCCTAGAATCCCCATAATATTCCTCAATGTACGATTCAAAGAAAAAAAAAGGAAATGGTAAACAAAAAGAAAATCTAGTGGAAGTATTAGATAATTGCAAATAAAGAAAAGAAGTATATCTCAAAATTTTCTCTAAGATGAAGTTGTGGAGAATTGAGGAGGGGGACAATTTATGTATAATGAATTGAAGGAAGAAGAAGAAGAAGATATGGGAAGGAAGATAAAAGTTTCGACAGACCTATTATTCACTGAATTTCGAATCTTGCTTCATTACTGGTCTTCTGAGTTTAAACGTACGATTATCAAAAAAAGAAAGAAATATTGGGAAGAAGGGTATTTGTGTCATTTTTGTGGGGGTATGTGTGGGGTTGAAAGGGTTGGAGAGAATAGTTATTCAACTTGAAAATCAAGGTAAGGTAAAGAGGAAACATTTGCCAACAAACCTTCCCAATCAAATTCTCCAATTCTTAAGCTTTCTCCATGCCAATGATGATGATTCCCAAAACCAACCATATAGTCTTCAACCTTTAAGCTTTGATCACTACTTCCACTCATATTCATCAAGTGTTGGTTGTTGTTGTTGTTGTTACCATTTGTAATTTTCTTCTCAATTATGGAATCATAGTCATTAGCACCACTAACAATATTATTACTATTAAAATCAACATTACTATTATTATTCTCCCCCATAGTAGTAGTACTCTTATTATTAACACCCTCTAAAGAAGGTATTGAAAATTCATCACTTCCTAACCCCATCATACTATAAGTTTCCACAACTCCATAGTCCAAAAATCCACCATCACCTCCGCTACAACCAAATTGACCTAAATTCACTGGCTCGACTAATCCAGATATATCGTAGCTTGTGTTATCAAGCTGAGGGAAAGGGTTGAAATGGTTTCTAGGTACCATGGCTTGCATGGATGATCCTGAAGTAGTAGACGATGAATTATCCATGCATAACGCTGCCATAACATTTACATCGTGCCCTTGCATTGGAAATATTCCTCCCATCGAAGAATCACTCGTGTTAGGCGATGGCGTGCTGTTGTTACTGTTGTTGTTGTTGTTTTTCAGTCTTTTTTTTATCGTGGAATTCCAGAAATTCTTGATTTCATTATCTGTCCTCCCAGGAAGACGAGCCGCAATTTGTGACCACCTATAATATATGCAAAATATATAAGGTTTAAAGTAATGGAAATAAAGTACATCATGGATTTGCATGCATTATGTTAGTTTCATTAACAAATTAAACAAATAATATTTGTTTGAAAATTGAAATTGTTTCCCTGCTACAAGTGTTGGACGAAAATCAAATTGACTAACTAAATAACGGATTAATTATATAGTTCCTGAAATAAATTAATTATATATGACAGTAGATAGTCATTTTTAGTTTTCTTTTACTTAATGATCGATCCGTTTGGAACTTCTCTCTCTAATTAATTATCTAATTTTTCCCTTCAGATTTTTTTTAATTCATAAATCTCCTACTTGAACTTGGAAATACTGAATTTTTTTTAAGTACAAGTGGTTGGACTCTGGGATGGGAGTGAATATATTACTCATTAGTAAAAAATTATACATATACAAGGTTTGAGTCAAAGCTATTAATAGAATGGCTTAAGATTTAACAGTAAATGAGGTGTGTATAATATAATACCCTAACATAAGAGAAAATGGTGAAAAAGGACTAATTAAACATGACAATTAGGAGTTGTAGAGTAAAGTAAAATTATCCTTCTCAGAGCTTGAGATTTAGTGTTGAAAGAGGATTTTTATTTTTTGTGTGTGCATAAAGTAGGTTAACCATAAGTCAACCAATAATTTTAAAAAAAACTGTATTTGTGCTCTTAGTCTATTTAATGCATAGAAGATCAAATGCAAGTGTCCTATATATGTACACCATCCTCTATATAATAAAAATTTCACTATAGTAATCAAGTTTTTTTTTATATGTTCTCTGTAACAACATCTTCTTTTAACAATCAAAATATATCCAAACAACTGACCTCATTATCTATATAAAGATGTTTGTATAATATAATGCCCTAACATAAGAGAAAATGATGAAAAGGGGCAAATTATTGGTTAACTTTGACCACCATTACAAATACAAAAAGATAAGTACTACTAATATTTTCGTCTGTACTGAAATTTGAACCCTAATTTCTCATGATTTTCACTCATTTCATTCACGGTAAAACCAACATGGCTTCAAAATACACTACACATGAATGTTAACTTGATAGAAAGTAGAAAATGTGAAAGAGTGTATATATGTACCTATTTCCCAGAATAGAATGCAAATGAACAATGAGTTCTTCTTCTTGAAGAGAAAAGGCGCCGCGTTTAAGGTCAGGCCTCAAGTAATTAATCCATCGAAGACGACAACTCTTACCACATCTTTGTAATCCAGCATTTCTAGCAATGTCACTCCAACATCCTTGACCATTTGTTAACATGTAACTCATCAATTTCTCATCTTCTTCTGGTGACCATAAGCCTTTTCTTAATTTCCCTAATTTATTCACTTTCTCCTTCTCCTTCATCGTTGTATTATTATGTTCCGGCTTCCTCATCGATAACAAAGACTTAAAAACCCTAAGAAGATGAGGAGGAGGAGAAAACAAATATATGATATGTTTTGCTAGGCTTTGATGGTGAAAAGATATGAAGAAGATATATAGAATGGAATAATAAGAAAGAGAAGGAAAAAAATAAAAAAGATTATGTGAAGTGGAAGCAAAATGTGTTCCATTTCTCATACACATATGATGATTACCTTGTGAGTGAAGAAAAATGCAACGAAAGAGACTAGATAGAGTCAAAGACAAGAAGACCAACCATCACTCTCTCTCTCTCTCAAACCGCGAAATCAGAATTTCAACTTTATGAGTTTTGAATTTTATAATGACGATTTTAATTTGACTGAGTTCTAAATTTAAATGTGTATATATTTAATGAATTTATCAACATAATACATTATCTGAACAAAATCTACTGAATTCAACCGAATTTGTTTGCCGGCTATTAGCTCCTCCCCTGGCCCAAAGGAACGTCCCTCTCAATCCGTTTTCCACTCCACCTATAATTGTTTTTTTTAACCAACTAATTTGCCTCTTTATTTTTTATTTAATTCTCACAATTAATAATATTTTATAAATGATTTTTTTTTCTTTTTTGAAAAACACAACCCCACAAAACATCACTTTCATCATCACCATTACCACCCAAAGAAGTTTTCATTTCTCTTTTCTTTCAACTTCTCACTTGCACCTTAAGTCTAATTTTTCAAAGAAAAGGAAGAGTACATGTACAATATATTCACAAATAACATAAAGTACTACAATTGTTGTACACATTTTCTAAATTGTGTGATGGTAACTTAATATGTTATATTAAGGTACGCGTGTCTATGTCTACTTTGAACCTTTATTTTAACTCAAATTTAATTAATTTTCTACAAGTCTTTAATTTGAGTTGTTTGTTGCATGAAGAATGAAAATAACGTTCAAAATAATAAGCCTTTCAGTTTCATCTAACGGATTTTTGAAGCAAATTATCTGTCGACAGATACTATTGAAATGATTAGTGCTTCATTTTGCATTATATTATTCATATATGTAATTACTATTAAATATTATATATAAAGAATGTTTGTATAGTATTCCTCAACACTATACCAAACTTCCATTCTTGTAAAGTAAGTTATAGTTACTAAAAAAATGTTTTTTTTTCCCACTACGTGTGAAGACAAATTTAATATTTTTGTTCTTTTATGCAATCATGGAGTTGTCTTGATCAAGAAGGGAATTCTAATATAAAATCAATTATTTTTCCTTAAAGTATATGGTACAATCGTCAAAGCTCATGGTTTGATGTTCAGCACGTCTTACTGAATAAAATAAAAAAAGACTAATTGGAAAGTATTATCATTTGCCCTAAGAAAGAAAAAAAGAACACTATATTCCAAAAGCTAAACACCTTTACTAATAATTTTGCTATGAAGGGTGAACTTTTTAAAAAAAGAAGTGAATCCATTCAACTAAATGTTTATAGTTGTACGTTGATTATTCCAGGTCGGTCTTGGATGGATGTTTGATCTCCTTATATGATCTTGAGTGGTTCTTATTTTTATAAGCTAGCTTTTGACATTGCTTTAGGTTTGAGATTCATTTTATTTTACATAATAATAGAATCAGACTCGTCTCACTTCAAAAAAATTTACTCGATGTTGGACCCCCCCCCCCCCCCCCCCCCCCCCCCCCCCCCCCAATTAAATAGCACACACTTTACACTGCTTTTCTTATCGATTGCTATGTTTTTTTCATTGTTTTCTCTTTCTTTCACTTGGGTTTGATGCACTTGAGCCAAAGATCTTTCGTAGATATATTAGGTTGGATCTAATTTGGGTAAATACTTTACCTAATAGATCCAATTTGTGTAGTTTTTCATTTTTTTTAGCTTATCTGGTTGGAGGGTGCTACTAGCTAGAGGAGTGTGTTCTATTGATTAGTGTTTCATTTGTTGTTCCTATGACTTGATTGATATCGTTTCGAGATGAAAAATAAAACTTTAGCTTTAGCTAATTCTGGAATCATGCCAGTTTTCGGGAATGAAGAGGTCTCGGTCTGATTTCTTATTTGCTATTGAAAATTGGTCTAACCGTGTAATACTTGCTTTGTATTTAATTATTACTCTATTTCATCATGTATTTGCAGACTGGAGTTCTTTCCCGGCAGTCTAATGTCTATGGACCGCTATAATATTATTGGTGATTACAAGTCAAAATTATACTTCTTTAAAGTGAATAAAATAGGAAACAATTATTTAAAGAAGAGGGGAATAAAGTGAAATAATAGTAATTATTCAATTATAATTATAAGGGAAAAAAGTCTGAAATATATTCGAATTTTGGTCGAAATTGTTGTTACGATACGAACTTTGAAAAGGACCTTTTACCCCTACACTATTTAATAGTGTATTTTAAAGGTATATATGTGCCCACGTGGACATAATAAATATTACATAATTATAAATAGTAACGTGTCCACGTGGACACATATATATCTTTAAAATACACTATTAAATAGTGCAGGGGTAAAAGGTCATCCATAAAGTTTGGTATCGTAACAATAATTTTGATCAAAGTTAGAGTATTTTTCAAACCCTTTTCCCTAATTATAACAAAAGATTTTACTTTTTTAACTCTTGGTCAAAATTCATGTTCTGTTGTTTTTCCATGTGTAAATTGTTACATAGCCATGTGTTTTGCACTGTCTTTTAATTTTCTCTATGATGTTATTAGACGACAACATTCCCTATTTTGTGCTATAATAATCTGTTTCACACTAAAGACAACAATCTTTAGAAATGAAAGCAATCTTTGACCATAGTGCAAATTTTGGAAAAATTATTGTCAACCAATTATGCATCATGTGTTCAACATTTAAAACTCCAATTGTTACTTCATTCATGAACTTTGAAAATTAAGGAACTACTTTTCAAATTAAAAATAATAATCTTACACCCCGTTTAGGTCAGCAGACTTTATAAACACCTGATAAGTTTTAAGAGCTAAAAAAATACTTTAAAACTATTGAAATTGATTTTATAAATAAACAGTGTTTAAATAAGTATGGGAATTGTTAAAACTAATAATAACTAGGGTTGTTCACAAATCGGTTTGGATCGATTATTGGTCAAAACTAATTTAATCGATTTTTAAATCATCAAAATCAAATCAAATCAAATATAATATACATTTACCGGTTTGGTTGTTATCAGTTTCGGTTCAATTATTTGGTTATTAATCATACACAAAAAAAATTTAAAAAAGATTCATTCAAAAGAGGGAAAAAAGACAACAGTTCACTCAAAACGAAAAATAGCTAGAACAACCAACATTACAGAACTTTCGATCACTGTTTTATTGTGAATAAAGCTTCAAAATTAAACATTTTGGCCTAGAAGGAAGAGAGTGACATTCTTAGTCCACAAAAAATTATCATAGACACTCATATACATGAAATCAATAAGATTAATGTTCTCGTCTTGGACATTTTTGTTTTCATAAATAAATTATAAATATTTTTTTATGAAAACATATAATATAAGATATTTAAATTTTCTTATAAAAATAATATGTTATGCATGTATAAAAATAAAATATATATATATATATATATATAAAATTATCGGTTCGGTTCGATTATTTCTTCCATTATTTTAAAACAAAATCAAATATCGGTTTTAAAATTTTTAAAACCAAACCAAATTCAAATAAAATTGATTTATTTAATCGGTTTGATTCAATTTTTCGATTTAGATTGATTTTTATCCAAACCGTGAACAGCCCTAATAATAACCGTCCGTTTGATAAAAAAAAATTAAATTTATAAGTATGAAAAAAAAGAACAACAAATACAGAATGAAGAGAAAGTTAGCGTTTCGTTTTAAGAAAGGTATTTCGAGAAATTGAAAAAAAAAACTAGAAAAATGGTAAAAAAGAAAGGAAAAATTACGCGGATAAGTAAACATATACTAGTTAATTAGTTAATATAGCTTTAGTTTGAATTAATTACGGATCACAACTTAATTTTAGCTATATTTACGTTGTCTCTCTCCTCTCTTCCTCTCTATCTCGCCTCCCTCCTCTTTTTTACATACAAGATACAAATTATCAAATAAAAATTGTACATATAAATAAACAATTATATGATAGATATACAAATACAATTAGCTTCTCTCCACTCTCTGTCATTTTTTGTTGGCCTCTCTCCGCTCTCTCTCAATCTCGCTCACCTCTCTCTTCACTCTCTCAATCTCTCTCGTGAGATATACAAATACATATATACAATTTATCTGAGTCTGGAGCCAAAAGGGCAAAAAAAATTGTCAAAAATTCCAAAGGGCACATCAAACTTTTTTAAAACCAAAAGGGCAAAATCGCTTCTGACGAAGCGATTACCCTCTGACACAAGGCGAGTTTGAATAAAATAAAATAAATTTTTTTACAAAATCGCATTGTGTCAGAGGGTAATCGCTTCGTCAGGAGCGATTTTGCCCTTTTGGTTTTTAAAAAAAAATTGATGTGCCCTTTTGGAATTTTTGACAATTTTTTTTGCCCTTTTGGCTCTGGACTCCAATTTATCTGACAGATATACATATATAGTTTGCCTCTCTCCACTCTCTGCCCTCTCTCACTGACCTCTCTCCTCTCTTTCTCAATCTCGCTCACCTCTCTCCTCCCTCTCCCAATCTCACTCGCCAGATATACAAATACATATGTATTTCAATTACATATATACAATTATTTTGACAGATATGCATATACAATTCGACATATATACATATACAATTTGCTTCTCTCCACTCTCTGCCCTCTATCGCTCGTCTCTCTCCTCCCTCTCCTAATCTTGCTTGCCTTTCTCAATCTCTCTCTCCTCTCTCTAACATGTAGCTACAAATCATAATTAGTAAATTATAATTATGAAGCATAATTAAGTTATTTTTGAGTGACTATATGCGAAAATTTCGCAAAAAAATAATTAATCAAACTAGAAGTGATTATAAGCTGAACATTAATTTTAACTTATAAGCATTTGGTTTATAAGCACTTTTAACAAATGCATAAGTAAACTTAAAAAATTGCTTAAATTAATTTGATCATCTTATAAATTAATTAATTTAGCTAAATACCCTCTATAATTAGTCCAATCATTATAAGATACAACTTGATTCATTCTTTTCTCTTTCCACCAAATTTTATTTTTATTAGATACATCTCCCTTAAAATCACTCTAAAGTGAAAATATTTGACAATACAAAACACATTTATCCTTGAGCAAATATTATCTCGTAGAATTGGTCAGCCTTTGCCTTACGATATATGACGAATTATCATTCGATGAAACAACATTATTATTAAAATGCAAGAAAGACTTTTTGTGAGATTGCAATTTTAATTTAATCTCTTGAAGTCAACTATACATTAATTCAGAATATAGTTTTTTTTGTTTTGAATAAATAAAAAGTAATTGAAGAAACATCCCATTTACGTAGGGGTGTCCAATATGTACTTTTTCATATGTGTGCGCAAATATCATTAATCATTATATGAAGACATAAAATTATAGTATGTCAAGACCGCTTGAAAATAATAAAAAGTAAATATTACTTTAAGACAAAAAATAAAAATCTTAAAATTACTACACTAAATTATAATATTACTTTAAATATTAATATTTTCAAAAAAAAAAAATGTCTTTGATTTATTGACGTCCCTCACCTACCCACTCAGAGGCGGAGTCAGAAGGGACCGAGGAGTTCATTCGAAAACCCTTCGACACTGTTTATGCATGGTTAAATTGTTAGTTTTATGTATATATTGTAGATTTTGAATCCCTTTCGACTTCTCATATGTTTGAGTTTTCATATTTTAAACTTAGTGAAAATTCTGACTCTGTCGCTGCCTCACTAAATACCTAATTTAGGTCTTATTCATATGGGAGTAGTTACCATCAGATAAGCATGAAAAAAACACATCAGAGGTATCTCTATCAACACAAAGAGGCAATGCAAATTAAATCAATGGTATTTTAAAATATATAGACTCTCTGTCAATTTAGGAAAAATATGAGGGACTATTTTGAGTATTTGAAAACTTTAATTTGCATGCTGAGTTGGATTTCCATATGAAAAAAATAACAAGTGGAAAAGAAATACAACTAAGCTACTCAAAGATATATAAATCTACGTAGTTACAGCTGTATAGATAATATATTTTTTCTTCACTTCTTCAATTTACCCAAGCCAAGCAACATTCTTCTTCTTCAATAAGATTAATTAGGACCCCATCATGTGCAATTCTCGTTTCTTATAGGGCCGGCTAGCAATAATTCTTACTTGGACGTGCGCAAATAGACATTTAAACAATCATAAAGTTAACAAGTAGACAAATACATGCATCTTATGTGACATGTATATAAATCTTCAAGTGTATTTCATGTGAATTTTCATGTTAATTGTTAAGTGTGTCTAGTTGTTCAACTTTGTAGAAATTTAAATGTCTTGTGTGCACCTAAGATTTGTAGGCATAAATATTAGTTAAGACCGAATTAGAAAATACGTTTATATATCCGCCCTCAATGCATTCTGAGTCGAGCATGTCGCATAGGGCTTGCCTAGTGCGGTTTACATCCCTTGTGTGGTTTGCAGGCTATTACACTGTGGAGGGTTTACCCAGTGCGCACAAAGTGCTCACCACAAAATACTCACCCGAAGGACAGAGGTTGTGACCAATGGCGGAGCTAGGATTTTTAATAAGGGGGTTCAATATCTGAAGAACTAAACATACGAACTAACCAAAGGAGGTTCGACATCTATTATATAAGCATAAAAAATAATTTTAACCATGTATAAATAGTAAAATTTTCCGCCGAAGGGGGTTTGGATGAACCCCCTAACAGAAGGCTGGCTTCGCCCCTGGCTATGACAGAGGTTGTAACGACAGCGGGTTATCTTGGGGTTCCAAAAAAAATATATAATAATACACTTTAAAGTTAGAAAAGATATTCCTTCACGTCAAAAGCTAATAAAAAGAATTGTAGCTCGCTCATTTATGAGAGAACTACTTCAATATTTTGAATTAGGCATTGCAATAGAAGTAGATGGAGTAAATGGTAAGAGTGGACAGTTTGCCCATTTTTGGTGGAAGTTCCATTTTGATCTATGTTTTTAGGGAATAGGGCGATCCCTTTTAATGTGTGGTGTTTAAAAAATATCCGTTTTAAAATCGAATTCTTTATATGTGGTTGATTTGATTTTGTTGAGCTTAATTATTAATAATGAGACCATAAAAATATAAAAATAAAAGAATCAGTCGTTATCTAACAAATATATAATCATCAATAAAATTGGTTCCAAGGTAGAATATCAATCCCTAGACAAGTTGACATAATGATTATTTGCACTTATTTGCGGAGCTCTCAACGAATGCACTCATAGGTGTTTGAAAGAGCAAGCCGGAGAAAAAATCGTTGAGATAATACCTTTAATCCTAATCTCATCTATTGAAAAAGGGAGCCCCTTTGATCATCTGAAGAGATTTTTAGGCAGAATTGACATAATTATTACCACGAGGATTGAGCTGCCAAAAGAGATTATCCTCCTTTGGGCTGAAAGATAATATTTATGCCGTCCATAGAAAAAGAAAAGAAGAAAGTATTATGAAGCCAAAACAGACTAAAATATACTACCTATGTCACAATTTATGTGACTTACTTTCCTTTTTAGTCAGTCCCAAAAAGAATAACATATTTCTATATTAAGTAACAATTTAACTATAAAATGTCTATTTTACCATTAATGAAATAATTTACAGCCACACAAATTTCTATCATTCATTTTGGACCACAAGTTTTAAAAGTCTCTTTTCTTTCTTAAACTCCGTGCCGAGTCAAACTACCACACATAAAATGGGACGGAGGAAGTATTGAGTTAGTAAAATTATAGATGGTATATGGAGTCGTTAAATTATATGTGGCAAATAGATTGATTTGATTGAATTTGAACGAATCAAAATATGATGGATTAATTTTGCCACATTTTAATTACACTCCATAGCTTTTTGATTTTATGGATACTTATAATTAGTTAGATTTATAGATGCTTATAAGTTACGAATAGAATCTTAGTTCGTCTACTGGGCACGAAACTTATGAAATATAATATTTAAATTTTATGATCTTAAACTAAATATATGTATAATGAATTAAATTGATTTCGTATCTTATGATATTAAATACTTCATGTTAAAATTAAAAAAGGTACTCTCTCCATTCTCTTTTATTTAGTCCATATTTAACTTGACACTCTGATTAAAAAAGTAGGGGTCTATTTTATTAAGTTAATCTTATTAATCAGATTTTGAAAATTTAGATTAAACTACCATTAGTACTTTATGTAGTTACTTATTAATAAGGTAATCTGTCTTTGATTTACCAAAAAAAAAAATACTAAAAGGGAGAAGTAAAAAAAAAAGTGACACACGTGAATTAAAATAGAGGGGGTTAAATTGTTTTTTTTTCAGGTTATTAATTTCCTTTTCCTACATACCTTAGGACTACTTTCCCATTCCTATTAGAATAATGAAATAAAAATTGTCTACTTAAATCATAGTACGCCACCAAAAATTAAATCCATAGTTTTTTTTTCTTCTTCTAATTTTATCACAATTTTAAATAATGAAATCAAAAATTAGATACGAAAGATTAACTTTTTACTTAATATTTTTCTTGATTTTTGCATGCATTTTATGGATAATGAATTATACAATGTTTGAGACTAAGGATGAAAAACAAATATTTATACTAGCTGGACAAAGTAACATGGCTGGACGTGGAGGGGTTGTTAAAAGAGTTTGGGATGGTTATGTACCACCGGAATGTCATCGGAATCCGGCAATCCACCGACTAAACGGAAACTCGATATGGGAAGTAGCTCAAGAACCTCTCCATGAAGATATTGATTTTAACAAGACATGTGGGATTGGACCAACAATGGTGTTTGCTAATATTGTGTTGGAGATGGACCCTCAATTTGGGAAAATAGGGTTAGTCCCTTGTGCGATCGGAGGCACTAGTATCGATAAATGGTCACAGGGTTCCAGGTACATGTCTTATCTCATTGTAACATACTCCCTCCGTCCCTATTTACTTGTCCTTATTTCCTTTTTTAGTTGTCCCTATTTAGTTGTCCATTTTGACAAATCAAGAAAGGACAACAAATTTTTTCCTATTATACCCTAATTTACACTTCTTGAAAATTGTAAAAGTGTATGTTGTTTCCCTCCAATTTATTTCACTTGAATTCAAATAAGTGGTTGTAATTTTGAAGTGAAAAGTTGTCATAAGGGTAAAATTGTAACTTCACTGTGCTAATCATTGTTGCCTTAATCTGTGTGCCATTTCTAAAGTGGACAACTAAAAAGGGACGGAGGGAGTATGTGGTTATCCACATTTATATATATAAAAAATAATGATAATGATAAATTTAGTAGTGAACGGCACCGACCCAATTCCACCGCCTTTGATCAAATACATCCGCGCAAGTCTTATTTCCACCGCTTAATCGTAGCCGTCTGTCATATTCCTCAAACCTATAAATACAAGGCAATTATTCCATCCCGGTTTGCTTTTGTTCAAGTTGTACGAACTGATCAATCGAGATGTACATACATTCTGAATTTACTGACGACTCTATAAATATAAATAATTATGTTGTAAACCTAATATTACTATATTTTTGCTAGGCTCTACAATGACATGATTAAAAGAGCTAGAATTGCTTTGCAAGATGGTGGAACAATTCAAGGAATTCTTTGGTACCAAGGGGAAAGAGATGCATTAACTTTGAAAAAAGCAAAATCTTATAAAAGAAAATTGGAGAAACTTTTTGGGGACGTTCGCAATGATTTAAATTCTCCATTACTTCCAATATTTCAGGTACAATTTTATCGAAAAATACCCTTTGAACTATGTTAATTTAATTTAAAAACTTTATTGTGGTATGAATTAATGATGATTTGAATCTAAAAAAAAAATTAATGATGTTAGTGACTAATTTAAGGAATTGTATTAGTAGTTATCATTGTTTTCTAAAATTGACATGTTAACAATATCTACAATGGACCACGTACGACGTAGAATGTGTTTTTGTATAATATATGCTATATTTAATGAAACAATATTACTGTATAAGAAGGATAATTAATATCTACGTTATGTTTCAACTGAATTATTATGATTGTGGAGTTAGGTGATAATTGTGAGTCATAAAAGTGTTTATAATGTTGAAAAAAATTGGAGTAGAAAAAACATAAAGAGAAAGTTAGTTGTGCAATATATTGTTTTTTACTTTTTATTATTAAAATAGAAAATAATTTCTTGAGAAGACATTTACCAGAATCAGTATGTGTGAAATACTTCTATTTTACATAATCATGTAATTGACATAAAATTTCAAATTCTTTCTTTTCTTTATTTTTAGAAAGAAAGAAAATTTATAACATTAGCCATATAATTTTCGTGATATCCTCCGATTAATTGGTTTATCTCTTTACAAATTTATTCTTTTGTTCTTTTTTACGAGAGATCTTTATATTTACACATATGAAAACAATATACAAGGGATCCTTACATGCTTATTTTCTTCTATTCTAATTAGTAAAGGACTCAATTGACCCTTTTTCCCGATATTTTCTCTTTCTTTCACTACAACAAAAGAGATATTTAGTGGCAATAGATTTTTCTACTCAATATTTATTGCCGCAAATATACTTAGCGACAACTGGGACAATGTTATATGCATTTTTAGCGGCATTTATCTAGAGTATTGCTTATAAATATCCATATTTATTATTACAGCTAAATATTTTATTGCCGTAGTATTTTTTAAGTGAACCTACTAAGCATTGGATATATATCCAAAAGATGGGAAGGGTGAAATGTTCATGTAAAAACTTTTTCTTTATCACTCTTACTTGTATACCAAAATATTACTTAATATCATCATATAGTTTTTCAGGTTTGTTACGAAATTAAGTATTTTATGTAAATTTTAGTATTGATTTTGGGTATAATTGTATAGGTAGCCCTAGCTTCTGGAGAAGGACCCTTTATGGAAGAAGTGAGAGAAGCCCAGCTTGGAATTAACCTTGACAATGTAATAACTGTAGATGCTTTGGGCCTGCCTTTGGAGCAAGATGCCCTACACCTTACTACTCAAGCCCAAGTCCAACTTGGATATAAGTTGGCTGATGCATTTCTTAAAGCCCATTATATATTCAGAACAACCCAATAGCACTCTTTCTCCTTCTCTTTTATTTATTTATTTTCTTTTTACCTTGGTGTGATCTATAAAAAAGCTCAATAGAATTAGGAAAATATCAGTTTAAATGTACCTCTCATAATAGTGATATCGTGGGTTTGAGCCCCACTAAATTCGTGTAATCCAATAACAATGGATATGTCATGTATTCATTGGTCTAACGCAATAACAATGGATATGTAATGTATTCATTGGTCTAACGCAATAACAATGGATATGCCATGTATTCATTGGTTTGATGTGAACAACAATAGTAACATATGTGAATAATAATTTTTTACCAAATTAGGCACCCATGTGAAGAAACTCACCACGATCAAACATGCAAACAGTGTGCCCAAAAATCAAACCTTTTTTACTCTTCATAACCAAGGCTTCATATAAGTAACAACTTCTCACTCCATCAAATAAACAAAAGAAGATGTTATTCAAACTCTAAAGAAGGTTTTGATAAACAAGAGTGAGTACAAAGAGATACAACTTCAAAATAAACCTTCATGCAAAAAAAAAAAAAAAAAAAATCCTCATCAAGGTTTTCCTTTGGAAGATTCAAATGTAAAGTATGCTTTTTATTTGTGCAAGAAGCAGAAGAACATTGTTATGAGAAATAAACACCTCAGGGCGGCAGTCCAAAGCATGAGGATGTTTGTTAATCTTCAGCTAAAACCACAATAGGGTAAAATAACTAAAACGGGCTTTCACGCAATCAGAAGTTGATAGGTTCCCTCAAGAGTCTCTCCATCTGGCGTGCCCTAGTCCTTATGGACATGTCAAAAACTTTCTGGCCAAATTCTATCACAAGCCCACCGAGAATGCTAGGATCAATCTGTAACGACAAGGATTCAATATCATAAACAGATGCGATCTTTGACATTTGAGAATTTTCAAGAAGAAAAAGTTTCAGTAGCATAATGTACCTTCTGTTCAATGTTCACCTTCTTCCCTTTTCCCATCACCTCTTGCAATGTCTCCTTCAATTCTTTCTCCTCCTCTGGAGGAATAGGCTGGGTAGAGTAAACAATAAGATTTAAGAATCAGATATCTAACTACAAGGAAACAACAAACTAGGACTGCCAGCAATTAAAATCTTGTATCAATACAGCAGTTAACAACCCTTAGTCCTCAGAGCACAAGAGAGCAGGGTATCAAAGTAGTCAACTCAAAGCATCATTCATTACATTACGCAGAATAATGAAGGGACCTCACCAATAATGACTATCAAGACATTGAAGTATTAGAACAGAATTATCCGCCAACTATTTACATTGGACATCATTTGGTAGTCACATTAAAAGTGCAGATATATTGAATTTCGAAGCAAACTGCAACATAGTCACTATCTTTCCACTAGAAAAGACATTTAACTTCATGCACAAATTTTCAAGAATTGCCATAAGCAGTTTATAAGCAACTCATACTGCTTTCATCCTCATAATTCAAGTATCACTTACTCTTTCAAAGCACCATTAAGTAAACACCATATCGAAAATATAGTTTAACTTGAAATAGCCCTCGCCACATTAAATTAAAAAATACAAAAGATAAGGATCTATATTCGAGCGCAAACTTTTAGTGCCAAATAGGTGGACTTACAATAACAGTTGTTACAATGGCTTTAAGTTCCCCCTTGTGTGCCATGGTTAACTCTGCAAACCTTTTTGCTATGGCATCAACATGTTTCAGCCTCCCATTTTCAGCCAAAACAACTAGAAATCCAAAGGTAAAAGAAAATGTCAGACAAATATAAAGTGATCATAATTGGAAAGAAGATATTAGCTGAGCAGGATAATAAAAAACACACATGCTCAGCTACCACATGACAAATAACAAAGAGATTATGAAATCTTGGCGGTGTGAAGCTCTGATTGGTTTTTTTTTAAATGAAAAAGGTGTGAAGCTCTGATCTTTAAATCGATCATAGCAACCAATGGAGAAAAGACAATAGTATGTCAAAATTTCTGCCAAAAAGAAATATAGCTTTACAAATGCTGCTGCCAATGTGATAATGAAGAAGCATTCCCGAGGCAATGAAAAAGTAGTAAAAAGGTGGAAATTCCCATGTCAATAGGAAGCCATAATGACAGAAATGGATACCGGAATCAAAGTGAAGTTCAAAATAAATTGTTCATTCTCGAGGCAATATTAAAAAACGTTTTCTTAAAAAATGACTTGACCACATATAAGATAAATCTTTCAAGTAAAATAACTCCACTAAATATTTTTCACAGGTCACCCTACAAAAATATTTTCAGAATTATATACTTTAAACGCTCAAAAACATGTTTCTGAACAGGTGGTGGAAAAAAAATAGTTACTATGACTAGGGAAGACTTGGGGAGTAGGAGGAGATAACAGAAATGAGAAACGGTAAATATGGTGCAGGTTAGAACAATTTCTCCAGATTAGTCCAGCGTGAGGGAGCAAACTGAGAATAGTCCCCTGCTAATCACGTGATCTTTCAAACCAAACAAGTGATTGGTTTGATTTTCTTTTTCATCCCCAAATCCAACAAAAATACATGTCCAATAGACCAATACATTAACCAAACAGAACAAAAATACACAATGATCAGATAATCCTAAGTTGACTGTCAATTGCATCATTGTTCACCAGACCTTTTTTTTATTTCATCACCTAGATCATTTTGATTTTCGAGAAAAGAACATTACTATCCTTATTGCTTTTGTTTCTTTCTAATAAGTAACAATTACTAATTAATTAAAAGGTATCTTTTGGATTGTCTTGTTCAGCTCCAAGCAGTACAACACAAACCTTCAGTTTACAGTATGAAAAGATGACCACGCAGCTAGGATAATAAAAAACCAACAAATAGTGACATTGAAGAAGAATTTACTATTTGCTAGTGAGATTCACATTGATCAAAGGAACTTGCTCATCTAAACCAGAATATAGATACCAAATTGATGTGATTCTTTGTGTTAACCAAGAACCAATCAACCAGGATCAAAATCTTGGAACTGAAACAACGGTTGAACAGTCCAATATCAAGAAATGGATGTTATCTCAAGCCATATATCTTGGAATCAACTACCAAGTGATTCCAAAATGGGGTGAAAGATGAGATTCTGTTTAGTTATGCATCTCTCATTGTTTCTAAAACTACAAATTTTCACATTTTAAAAAATGAAATATAGTACTTTCAGAAATAACAATATAATTTTATCATACCCAAGAAGTTCCTTGTGAGCTCTCCAAACTTAGCCTCTGAAGAGATGTCAGACATGGCCTTCACTCTTGTCTCTGTAGGTACAGAGAGATCCTTCATAAACTGAGAAAATTTAGGACTTTTCTTTGAAGCCTCAATAAGGTCCAAAATCTCGGACTCGACCTTCTCCAATGCATTAGCTTTTACAGCTGCGATGTACAAAGCTGAGGCATAATTTCCAGAAACCCCATACATAGTCACAGGAACCTGATACATCATAGAGGAGCAAACGATGTTAACACATTTATGGCTCATATTCCAAGAGATTTAGTAATAGTATTCATTTCTTCTATCTCTTTGGATATGAAGGAAAGGACGAGATGTATTGCTTCAAGTGACAGAGATTGCTATTATTTTGAATTCAAACTTAAAAGAGAGCAAAAGGTGAAACAGTTGAGATATCATGAGTCAAAATATAAAAAAGAACTTCCAACATAAAGTGGAATTGGTAAGAATGAACTGGTCCCAGACATGCATAACTGACAGGAGAATAGGGAAAGTTTTTTGATGAAAATAGGAAAAGTTTTTTACTACATAGCTAATAATCAACCCCTATTACCAGTCTTCTACAACAATAATGAGGATATGAGTTGTTTTCTTCAACATACAGCTTGAAACAGTTATAGTTAATGCCAAACCCTGCGCTTCATTGATAAAATCAATGTTGACTCTCTATCAACCAATAATGTGGGACTATTACATGGTTAAAAATTGACTTGTTCTCTTGAATAATCCCCAGCAGTTGTGCCGCTAAGAACTTATGTAAACACTTTTCAGGCAGTATCTCAGCTCTACATGACAGACTTAATGGACTTGGCAGCAAAAAAGAAAAAAAGGAATCACTAGGAGCACATGTGAGATAAGCATCAGATCATGTCATCCACTGCCAAGGGAATCCCCAAACGAAGGAATCAATTTAATGATATGTGCAAAATAATAAGTAAGTTATGTTCATTCTTCATTTCCAAAAACATAGGTACTTTTACAAGCAAGATACTTTATCCTATTAATACAAGGGAGCTCAAAATTTTGCTAATTCAGAAGAATTTCCAACTGATAGACAAGAAGTTGGTGTCAAATGTCAATATATTGTGTGGATTTACATCCAACCTTCAAAAAGAAAGGAGTTGAATTTTGCTTGAAAGTATTACCTTTTCTAATAAATTCAAGAAAGGCAATGGGCGTCAAATAAAATTTGAAATCAAAGATGCATCAGTAAGTTAGACTTCACTTTTCAAACCTCAGGTTTAATTTTTTTCATTGGAGCTTACAGTTGAATCAATATTGTAGTATCTTTACTAGAAAATTTAATCTGATGCAGATACCATTTTAAGGAGTTAATTTACCCAATGGGTTTCAATATGCATTTACTTTAGGCTAATGCACTGCTTTAGGCAGCAATAAGTTGCATTTACTCAAGGCTATAAATGCAATGCTTTAGGCAGCAATACTTTGGTGACTTGGTGTCAAATGTCAATATACTGCAGGTTTATATCGAACCTTTGAAAAGATAGGAGTTAGATTCTGCTTGAAAGCATTGATAACTCTACTAAATTCAAGGAAGTTCTTGGGATCCAAATTATACTTGAAATCAAGATGCATCAGTAAATTAGACTTCACATTTCAAATGTCAGCTTAAGTTTTTTATGTTGGAGCTTACAGTTGAATCAATATTGTTGTATCTTTAGTGGAGATCTAGTTATGCAGATACCATTTTGAGGATTTGATGTACCCAATGGGATTCAATATGTATTTACTCTAGGCTAGGAATGCAATGCTTTCAGCAGAAATAAGTGACATAGCGAAAGATTCAACTTCACTAAAAAGTAAAAAAAAACTCAATCAGAAACAAATATCAAACATACAAATACGGCTACAATCTCATAGGACTACTAACCTTTACTTTTTTCTCTTTGGCAGCTGGGACAGTAGCATAATTTCTTGACAACTGCAAAAAAGAATTGACCAACATTCATAAAAAAAGCACCAATAAAACAAACCACTTTACCATATCACAACAGCATGTACACTTTTAACAGCTCTGTAAAGAATAGCCATTCAATCAAACTTCAAACGGGATATGCATGCTTATGCACATTCGAAGGTTTCTCTTTTCAAGTACTTTGGGTGTAAATAAAACAAAAATTACCATCAATCAAAACATGATATTCAATTTCAATAAAAAAAAAAAGGAACTCCAGGAAACAAACTAAATATTCACATAGCAACAAGCTACCAACCCCCTTCATGAAAAAAAGTTTTAAAAGGCTAATGCTTGGCCATGATGCGAGGATAATCTTAAAATTTCCGCCTCCTCCCATCTAACCACCACCACACATACCGAGGTCAAAATGTTTTGTTTTGCAATAAACAAAGAAGACAAATAACAGAAAAAAGTATTTCCAATGCAATGATGACACTATTTTCACATGTGAATTCAATCAGAAAATCACACCATAATACTCCACCCTAAGCTGCAAACATATAATCATTTCCATCAATTTCACTTTCAATTTAAAAATTTGACTCCACATAGCAGGGTTTGTTCTGACTACGTAACATCACAAAAAGATTAGCACCCAGAAACAACATTCATCCATTTCACATAAACATATATCGGGAATCAAACTCATCCAATTTCAAAGTCAAAAATAAAATAAAATCGAAGAATCTAAACGGAAGATGCAGATCAAAGCACAACCCAGAAAATACAAAAAACATCAAAGACCAAAAGTAGGTCTAATCTGTAATAAGAATGAAAACCTCGGGATTGGAGATAAGGGCCGGATAAAGAGCGGATCTTGAATCAGATGAAAGGGCTTTGCGTACGTGAGGAAGTGTAGATCTAATACGCCCTGCCATTGCCATCGCAGAGAAGCTTTTCTTCGAACCCGATTTAGCTTTTCACAGAGATGTATGTATGCCTTTTTCTAGTGTTGAAAATAGCTGAGGGTTACGGGGTAAAGGAGGCTGTTGATTTTACTGCCTTAACATTTCAAAGCTTGTAGTTGTAACCTAAGAGGGCATACAATTTCTATACTACCACTACCATTTAGTGACATGTGTACTTTTTTTATTTTTACTTTACAAGAAACAATTTTATTTTTAAAAAAGGTTGGATTCCCTGATGATAAAGTCGCTCCATCACTTATAACAACTAAATCAATTCATCATTACTTAATAAAATTGTTATTCAAGGCATGAATCGCATTTTTTCGCTGGAGGAGACCACAAGAAAAAAGTTTAGGATTTGATTAAATTAAATTCCTTCTTTAGTTTAGTAATTTGAGAATAATCATATTTTGTTATAGTTTTATATTAAGTAGATGTATTTCTTTGATCATAAATTTATTTGAATTCTATAATTTGGCATAGCTTAAAATTTAATAAATATTATATTAAGCTCATAATTTCAATAAATTATTTACGTGATTTAATGAACGTAAATATGAGTACCAATAGTGTCACTTTAAATACCTGCATAACAGTTGGAATAAAATAGGTTACCAAGTATGAGGAACAAAACATGTTTTAGTTTTTCATATGAAGCTCATTTTAAAAGGCTATGGAAAATTTACAGCCTTCTTTTCCAATCACACATAATGGAAAATTTACAGCCTTGTGTCGTCAATATTTAATCTTCCATAGTATGGAGGAACGCTTGATATCTGTGGCATGTTGCAATACTGATGCTCTACTTCGAACTAGGTTAAGGTAACCAAGTGCCTTGAGCTTAGCCTCTATTACATGTAACAACTCGTTATACCATGCTGGTTTTCTCTTCAACACTTGTTTATAAGCAGTTAATCCAAGCCATTCAATTTCCCCTTTCTCCACTTCAAGAACTGGACGAAAATCTGAACCAGATTTGAACGAATACATCCTCCTCTTGATGAGCCTTTTCATATACCTAGTGAAGTCAAAAAAATTAAGGAGTCAGTGAATATGTGACACACTCAGATATGATGCAGAAGGGCTCTTGGTCTATCCTTGATCAAACATTTCTCTATGAATCGGAGTTTGAACAAGGTAGGTCCAACACCAGTGTATAAAAAGAGCAAACAGCATCAATGATAATGTACTAGATGTTTCATACCTCAATGATTTTTCCAAAGCATCTACATAAAATTTGGTGCTGAATCTATACAAGCATGATAAATCATAGAGGTAGCAGTGGAACTTCATGGCACAGAGAAGAAAAGCTTGATAAATGTTGAGTCTGACCACTACTGCTGAGTTTATGTTAGAATCATAGAATATAGGATGGCATTTCGGTCTAAGATAACTGCACAACCTAGCCTTAAAGTTACGTCCTGGTTTATTTAGCCAGCCAACAGTGAGGGTTGAACTTAGCGGGGAATTCAAGTACCTGTCAGCAAAAGACAACATCAATAAATATCTACCTATTAATCAAATTCCTTGAGCATTGAGAAAGTCGATGAGAAAGAAGAGTATGAACATCATGCAGAGGAAAATGTTGCTAGTAGCCAAATATCCTAACCATTAAATTGTTTAAATAGGTTCAGTTATCAAAAATTGTTTTAATAGGCCAATTGCTAGCCAAATAAGATTATAGTTGATGCCAGAATGTCAACAAAACACCATTTCAGTCTACAAGACACTTCCTAGTCATTAATGAAGAAACAAAAAAATGAGCTGACGTGAAGATCTGCTACACCAATTAGATCATCTTGAAAGCCAGAAATGCCTTGCACAACAAGCCAAGGTAAACTTTCCTGTGGAAAATGGACACTCTATAATTGTACACCGATCTTTCCCAGATTTACAGCAAGGCAGACCTCTACAAAATAAGTGATGCTTATCAACCAACTCTTGATACGGTTCATGTTAGAAGAGTCATTTTGCTACACTATGTGCTTAATAGGGAAGTATCAGTTTCTTCAGCAAGTGAGTGAATGATTCCTAGAGTGGCCTACTCCGCTTTATCATAATATAAACAATTAAGAAACACTAAAATAAATAAAATAACAACTTGCACGAAAATCCGCAAGTGACGCCATGTTGCTACTAGGAAGATAGCTGACCTTGTGTAATCTGCCTGAATTTCCAAGGTTGAGCAGTTGATAAATAGTCCACTCCATCGAAGAAACGAAGTTCCATCTTCAACCACATATAATCTATCCGATCCCAAACCTGGTATAATATTCATCTGAAAGTTCGTTCCAAATTTTTGTTCATTCATGTTGCAGTTGTAGGCACGAAACCCTCTCTGCAACCGGGACAATAACTTAGAAGCCTGTTCCTTTGAGGTTGAGATGAAAAGCAAGTCATCAATAAGCCTAAGCAACAGACTGATAGGTTTACATGCCACAAGATGATCATATCTTGCAGCTGTATCATCAAGGAAAGGTTCCTTTGAAGGAAATCCAGGGGCAGGTATACAAGCTTTCTCAAGAAATGGAAATATCACTGAATTCTCAAGATGACCATAATACAACGAGCAGAGCAGAGAGGACAAAACACTTCCTTGAGGTATACCGACAGATTGCAAGAAAAACTTGATACCTAACTGCAGTACATTGCGCTTTATGTGCTCCTTCAAATCATTTTGAAGCTGTTCTTTTCTTACTTTTCTGCCTTTAACCTGGAACAATCAATAATTTAGATTTTATTATAGCCACTTTTGGAAGTAAGGTTCTTAAAGCATATCAACGTCAGGTCATGTTTCAACTGAAAGATATAACTGTTCATCAAATTATTATTTTCTTGTTCTTTGGTTGAAGGAGCCTTGATACAAAATCAAAACTCAGAAAAATGATTCATTCCTCTTTCTAGGAGTAGGATGTTTAATTGATCTGCCCTTCCCACCCTACACCCCATTCCTCATAGATCCTTAACCTTGGGAGACCTACCTAGAGCTCAATGCGCAATTTTCTCTTTGAACATCAAACATTCATGTTAATTTACACTGCTTTAAGTTAGTTGGTTATTTAGTCGGTCTCATGTGTTTCTTCTTTTGCAGAACAGTATTCAGATATGCAAATTATAATATGTACAAAGACTATCAAGGATGGAACGTAAAAGAATGCATGCCTTAAAAAAAATACAATCAGTACCAAAAAATTATAAAACAAACTCACATGAAGTGAAAGAAGACGAGAAGACCATGAAATGTACATGTAGATGTTTTTACCATAAGGCAGTTCAAATAATGGTAATAAGCATGACCTCTTTCACACAAACACGATCAGGGCCAAGAAATTATGAAACAAATTCACATAAAAGTGAACGAAGCCAAAAAACAACCATGTAATTTGCATGTAGATGTGTTTACCCTAAAGCAGTTCAAAACACCCTACCTGTTGCTTTACAAGAATGCCATGCAACAAGTGAGTGGGAAGAAAAGACCTGACATTGGCAGGACCAGGGATATTCTCTTTACTCCCTAATGTCCAGTTTTCTGGTATCCTCAGAGACTTCTTAGTGCACACAACTTGAACAACTCGGCTGAAAAAATATTCGTCCTCCAAATTGAGATCATCCAGCACACTTAGTAGCTTATCTTGGTCTACAGAGTCAAAAGCTCTTTCAACATCTGATACAACGATGAATACTCCAGATTTGACAGAAAACCCACTCTTCAGATTTGATAAGAAAGGGATAAGCCTTTTATACACATCATTGTAGCCAAATACAGATGAACCCAACCTCTCTGGTTCTTTTGCTACTACATGTTTGAGCACTAAATGCAAATCTTTGAGGACTCCATTAACAGACTTGTAATTGTGGTGTTTGCAATTTTTACCAGCGCCTACTTTTCTCCAACCTCTGGGTCGACAAGGATGACTCACTGGCAAGTGTAGGGATGCTTTAAGATTTGCAAGCATTCTTAACCCCCTTCTTTTTGGAACTAGTCGAACTTTTGAGAAGCCAAATGACCTAGTCCTTATTATATTGCTGACAGATTCAGCAGTTAATTCTTTATACCCTTGATCCCTTACGCAAGTCACGGCTTTGGAAATAAGATTCTTCCAGGTCGGCTTGCGGTAATATAATATATCTTGTTTCTCATGCTCAGCTTCAGTTGCATAAAAGTTGGCTTGAATCAGTGGCACAATAAAAGAAGAAAACAACCAAAATATCCAGTGTTCTAGTAATTTATGTTTCAATAAAAGGGAGTTCTCATCTGATAGTAGAGGATAACTAGATAGTTTAACTTTCCTCATGCACTGCTTGGACATGAATTTCTCAAACCTTCGTAGCTTAACAAGCTTGTAAATATTATTCGTTAGAACTCTCCAATTAGAAGGAGTCCCCAGCAAATCTATGGGCACTATATTTCGACAAGCAGCCCAAACAAATGATACAACTTGCTTCTTCATACAAAAACACTTGGTTGGCTCCACAAGAGAGGATTGTGATTCTGAAGTAATATTGCAACTTTCAGACTTGAAGTAAGAGTGTGCCAATCCATTTTCTGGACAATCATTTGGAAATATACTTGCCTCAGATTTGTTTCCCTGATATCAACCAGTTCAGAACATCACACATTTAATAATCATATATCTGGAAATGCTAGATATGGAGAACTGAGTTGGATCATTCATTGACTTTTCAGTTTTCACTAAGTGCACCTGGTTATGTCAGATAAAAAATGGCACGTCATATGAGTCAGATTTCTTCTGATAATTAACAATAAGAGATTGTAATAGGAAACAGACTGGCCCACACATTGAAGTAATATCCAAAATCTCTAAAATATTTGTGGTTCAGTTGACAAATCTTTGGGAGTCAAATGGAATACTAGTAAATAACTAGTTTTCTTTCTTTTCATATAACATTAAACCTCAAGGGACCGTAAATAAGAAGGGGATGAACTAAAATTTTAAGAAGTTCAACAAAGACAAACCTTCAAGATAGTTGCAGCAATATTTTTGGTGTCTTGGTCCAATGATGGAGCAGAACAGTGTTCTTCCAACAGCCTTAAGTGTTGGCACTGGTGAGCTTTGCGGATGAGAGATTTCAGCAACTTAATAATTGAATGGTATCTAGGCAAAACAACAAGTGTTAGAAAGAAGACAAAGTAAAACAGGTATAGAAGTACACTCCTGTCCCCAAAACAGAACTAAAGGACCATGTCAAATGAACAAAATAACTTGTGCTGAGACATGTACCATGTTATTTTAGGATTAACAACATACTGGTCCACCCTTTCACTGCCAAAAGGAAGTGGTGATAATAGTGCAGAGCAAGACAAGTTGTTTGGAACAGAATCAAAGAGAGTTGACCCAAAAAAACAACATTTTCTGGTTGCTTCAGTTAAACTACATCAACAAATTGAAGCCAATCAAAGAGTAAAGGGGGCAAAAATGTCGTTAAATATAATGAGAATTATAAAGCAGCAGGTAGCTCTCGAATAACCCATTCAGACTTAAGCTAATGATTGAAGGCATATTGACAGTAAAAATTATTGACGAAGGTTTTCTGATAAACTAGCCCCAGCACCCCCCACCCCCCGCGCGCAACAAATAGTAAGTTTGCTTGAGCTCCTACAGCAATGCCATCTACTAGTGTACAAATCAAACAGCAATATTATGATGATCTGGCTTCCCACTATCAGGTCGCACCATATATTTTTGGCCTTTCTGTTGACAAGAAACAAAAGGCAGCTTCTAAAACTTGGCAAGCATTTTCTCGATAAACAACCCAATGCTTGACTATGGCATAAAGCTCCTACACAGTTTATAATCTTTGTCTGATCAATAATTATGTATGTTAATCATCCATAATAATTCCAAGCTCATACAAAGTATTCATTAGCCCCTAAGTGCAGACACTTTGAGCTTGAGCAGACAAAAAGAAACTAAAAATGTGATAAGAGGAGCACCATGTCTTTTCAGAAGGGATAAAATCTCAATTTCAATCTTTGGACTGTTAGAAAGAGAAAAAAAAAGTACAGTGCTAAATCATTTACTCCAGAGTATTTTTGACAAAGATTATCTGCATATTCCACTGAGAGATATGCCTTCAGTATGTGAAGAACAACCAAAGAGACTAAATGAGATAAAAATCCTTGAAGAAAAAGACAACTTAAAAGAGAAGAAATGAACATAGATTATTATCAATAAAGAACAAGGGAAAGCTGTTGCTCACAGACACGAGGATGGAATGAGATTACAGTTGCTTCTGTGCACGCAAGGAGCTACCTCAGTAGAGACATTAACACCTAGGGATCCAAAAATTTCCTTGAAGAGTTCATTTGCTCCAGAAGAGTTTGGCTTCAAGGAATACAAGATGTCTAAGTATTCTTAAGTTTGTCAACAAAGTTTTCCCTAACGATGGCACAGAGGCCAACAACAATCAGTTTCTATTTTAGTTCTTCCATTTCCTCGAGTGACTTGGAAATAAAGGCAGAAGTAAAACTCCTCTCTAATTAAAGGGAATGAAACCATTTAGCTCTTAAGAAGCAGAAAGTTTCAGAACAAGTATGAATAAAAGTGGTGGAACTCCATCCCTTTCTTAATTTCGACTAGTAGCAATTAAAGTGAATCATAATATCAAGCCAGATTAGCATGGGGGACAAAGTAGAAGGATACGCTCGGATGGGAATACTGATGAACAACTATCCAACTTGTAGAGCATGGTTCGCCTGTCGATTAGAATTTCCTTTTTGACCTCTGAAAGAGGGTCAAAGACCGAACAACACGAGCACCAAGCATTTGTCTGTTGATAAGAAAAAGGGAAAACTTTTTATTAAACCAAAAAAAATGAGGGTGAAGATCTAAATAGATGCTGAAATATTTGTGAACTACATGCAGAATTTCCTGAGTTCTGATTGTATAAACTTTTACCTTTTTCATCAAAAAAGAAAATTTCTGATTGTTAAAATGGGGCTAAGGATGACTCATCCCAATACACACCCTTTAGCAATCCTAAGAAAGATAAAGTAGGATTCAATCATTCCAATGCCTAGAAGTTATCAAGCTACTAAATGTGCACTATAATCATCAAACTGCATCATTTCACAAGAATAATATGCAGATGCATTTAATGGTTATAAGATTGAAAACCTTCAACTGCAATATTCTGAAACATCTTACAAGTCAGTGATCTCTTATCAGCAAATGCATCACACGCAAAAAGGGCCATATTATGGTGTGTAAAAGACCACAAGCTAGATATAAGATCAAATTTGGTAACAGCAGTATAAGTTTCATAAATCACCTTTTCAAGAGGAGGTCTTGAATTTAAGATTACATCACACTTCACGTCTCCCAACCACTCGTCCTTAGAATGTGTTCCTTGAGCCTTCAACTGCCTAAGCTTCCTTTGACGCAGCCATTTAGACAGTCTTTTACGCTTTCCACGCGATGGAGTATGTCTATTAGAGTAACATTGTCCTTCCCTAGATGGAAGCACTTCACAACAAGCGGAATTAACTTCAGCAGATACTGTAGTTTCTGTAGATAACTTCTCCATCTCATATATTTTCCTGCAGCACCAAGGCATGGAAACTATAATCCTACAATGACAGCAAAGCCAGGTAGTACAATTTACAGTAACAACATCAGAACACAAACCTAATGCCCATTTCTTTCCTTGCTGATGAGTAAACTTCGTCTACACTTCTCTTTTTCCTAGATTCTGGGATTAGCAATGGTTAAAAGATTTACAATAATTCAAACAATGTGGAAATCAGATACATAAGCAGAAATCCACAACTTCACAGTATATTTAGAGACATATGAGAAAGAAATGAATTATGACCACTCCATGAAGCATCTAGACTTCTGGTACTAATGTCTTAGAGAACGATTTGGAGACCTAACATTACAAGGCTAACCTTTAATTTTGTTGTTCAACCATCAAGTATTCGAAGTTTACTGGCCCGACTAATCCGTATTCGCACCCTGGTAGGCCCACTAAAGGGGTAAAGCAACTCCCGATTGAGATTTGAGATTTGAGATGTTCTTCATTCCCATGGCTCAAACTTGAGATCTCTAGTTAAGGATGGATGTATCCCGACCATTACACCACACTTCTTGGTGAAGACAAGGCTACCTTTAAGTACTCTAAGTAGATAACAGAAGATATAATACTCAATATAACCTTTGACTGTGTAAATTGTTGTGCATTGTTCGGTTCTCTACAACTTATCTCAATAGTCCAATTGCTTTTGACCATGAAATAATAACTCTGTCATCAAAAGTCAGGAACCTACTGTACTCTTCTGTCAGAAAAGTCGACTGACCATTCAGTGGCTATTGCTGAAATCCACAGTTCCTTTTTCCAGAGAAATTGGCATACTTCAGTTAAAGAAACTGATGTATTTGCACTTCCCCGTATAGGATAAAGACAACAAAAGAAGTTTAAATGAACAGGAAAAAACCGATATTGAGTAATGCAGACTATCAACTAACTTTTTATCATTTTGAACAGGAGAAAATGTCTCTGAGTAAATCTACCAACTAGTGAATTTATAAGTTACTCCACCATATGACAACTTGAAATTCAGTTTGATCAGAACACCACGTGATGATTTTAAATTGGGAGAAGGACAAGGATGATTAAAACTTGATTGAAATCTCTTCCCATTAAAAGTTTGAGATATGGGGTCATCAAAAAAGTTTGAGATATGGAACAATAATGCTAAGCTACACAAAGCAGGATTCGGGCAATGAACCCTACATCTCTCTAACTTGGGCGACAACTATGAAAATTTGAGGAGAAAGCTTTGCCATGGACTTTGCAGTCGTGGTCCAGCCCCTCCTGCTGGGCTTAGTCCTTCCTCTTCTCAGCCTACTTATGCAACCCTAATTAAAACAGACACCAATCTTACTCCCACTACACCATTAAAACCCAAGGAAGTAAGTTACGTCCATGGCGAGCCAACAATCTTATTTGGAACTGCTGATATTGATGCTTACATAAGGATCGGAATTTACAGTTTGCTTTGATAGAAAAGTTCTCATATGGTAAACCTGATATGGCAGAATTGAGGAAACTTTTTCCTCAGCAACTGGGAATTAAAGGAGGCTGCTCATTTGGTCTCACTTATTCAAGGCATATGCTAGTAAGGCTTTTTCTTCATGGAGACTTTATCTCTGTTTCTTCCAAGACTGTCGTATATATTTGGGATAAAGACGAGGGTCGGGATGTTGATTATCAGTTTAGAATTCAAAATGGACACTTTTGTTTAATCCAAACGAGGAAACCTCCATTGCTCTTGCTTGGATTTCTTTTCCTGATCTCCCCGTAAAACTCTTTACTAAGAAGTTTTTTTTCTATGAAATAAGAAAGATATCATTAGCAGAAAGCATCAAGAAGATGCAAGCATTACAAAGAGATTATCAGCTCCCAGGAAGGCAAAAAAGCCATCACAACTATCAACATACATCTATGGAGCTAATAAATTCTAGGAAAGATTCAACAGTAATTACAGAGGAGTGGTTTACCCAACTAAAAAGACGAAGAAAACAA